GGATCTAATTTAAAGTACAATGATTTAACATTAGCAGTATAATTTTCAATTGACTATTCAAGATGTTGCTTACATCACCTAAGTGCTGAATACCATTATGTCCTTTTATGAATCATACAGTAATGTTTCAAAAAGTAGTAGATGAAGGAGTGATGTTTAAGTTGTCAATCAGTCAAATTATCCCAATATCATAAATCTTTTTCATTCTTGATTTTATTGTATCAAGTAAGAGCTGATCCTTTTAGAAATGAAGGAATTAAAGTAAGACGTCATCTATCAGAAATTCTATTTGCATCTCTAGCATTATTATATCTCTCTAATCAATCATGAGGGTCTTGATCTTTATCCTTAAAAGTTGGTAAGTCCACAAATTTAGCTTTTCATTATTTGCTAAATTTAATAGTTTTAAAAATAGTTAAATTTTTGATGACTATAGATATTATGTACCATATTATTAATTTTATATGAATTAAAATTTTATTTTATTCTAATAGTAAAAAAACAATATTCATACTGACATCTTTTTGAATAGCATATTATATGATATTTCAATTTTGCATATTTAGTACTGAGATTTGAAAAAAACTTAACAAAGATGATGTTTTAACTAAAGAGAAAATACAATATATGCAAGTAAAAGGTTTAATTCAGTATTTACTTGATGATCATAGTATATGTTAGAGTAATATTAGTTAGATAAAGAATAATCCAAAGTTACAATTACAAAATCCAATCCTAAAAAATTATACATAAGCCAAAATTGAAAATTTTTGAAGTATTATTATCACAATTTTTTATATACTATTTGGTCAAGGTCTTGTAATTACACTTCACATTTCATATAATAAAATATTTAATAGAAAAATTTTTAAGTACTTGGATAAACGAATTGATTATTAAACTTCTTATAGTACTTGGTATGTATTGGTAGTTCTTCATCAAAATGATAGATTAGATGTTATAATTTCTAAAATTTATATAGCTGTTATAAATAAGGATTTTTCATATTCTGATATGTCTAATATTCTGAACTTTGTTAAGAAAAGATCTCAGATAGTTCTTAAAAACTGTAATGCAATTCAATGATGAAATAAAGTAAGAAAAAAAAAGTTTACTTATGACAGAAAGAAACTTGCTGATTTTGATTTTGATAAGGTAATATAATATTATACATATTTATATATTATAAAATATTACTTAAAATATTTTATTATAGGAATTAGTATTTTATAAGAGTAAAACATCTGAACAAATTTGTAAAGATGTATTTTAACTATCATTTAGTAATATTTTAAGAGACTTTGATATAATAGTAAAATGTATTACATATCATACATTTGCAAAAAAAAATGCATATGATTTATGTGATGTATATTTATTTTATGTAAATACAAGTTTATGGAAAAGAATTATTTATGATAAATATAAACTTAAAGGAAAATAATAAGAATCACTTAAAATAGAGATACTCATACTACTTATTGCAAGAAAAATTTTTGGATTTGAAAATTTTTGAAAAGGACAAATTGAAGCAATTATTACTTATTTAGGTGATAAAGATACATTTATATCTATGAAAACTGACAGAGATGAAACTTTATGTTATGCTTTATTATCTATTTGTTTTAAAAGTCTAATGATTATTTTTAGTCCTCTAAAAATGCTTATAAATGATTAAAAGGTTAGTATTAGAATGATCTTAGTTATATAATATATTAATTTAATAGTTTTTTTATTTTATATTCAACATGAACTTATAAGTGCAGGTATTCTATGTATTACTTTGTACACTAATTTAGTACAAGGAGTAAGTATTCAAAAAAAAAATTTTGAAGAAATAGCATGTAAATTGATAAAGATATTATTTATTACATCTGAAAAGTTAGTGTTTAATAAAGAATTTTATAAATTTATTATATAACTTTATAAATAGAAAAATATTTAATTTGTAATTGATGAAGTATATTGTATTCTAATATATCAGGATTTTAGGTAATATAATAATAAACTTTATAAGATTATTAATTAGTTATGATTATAAGAATATATTATTTATCTATTATAGAGAGGTTTAGGAATGACTTAGAATATTAAAACAGTGTTAAAAGTTGACTTCAATTATTTTACTTATAGCAACATATATATAATTTGAAGTAAATGAAATTTATATAAACTTAAATATTGAAGAAAATAATTTTACACTAATCCACAATTTTACAAACTATTGATTAGAAATAATCTTCAATATTCATGAGAAAAAAGAAGTATGAGATTAATATATTACTGAAGTCATAAATATTATAAATGCTAATTTACTTAGACATATTATTATATATTATGTAATGCATTTTAGTTATGAATATCTTTATAATAAATTATAGAAAAATATGACTAATATATCAATAGATTATTTTCATGGTAGTTTACAAGATAACGAAAGAGAAAAGATAATGAACTAATTATATACAAATAATAATTATAATTTCTGCCTTTAAAATGAAAATAAACTCAAATAATATATGAGTGATAATTCATGCGAAAGTATGAGTATATATATAGACTTACTTATTTTCCTTTATTATAAAATTATTCACATTTTTGCATTTTGATAGCTAATCTCATTTAAAAAGCAGAACATGTAGAATGTGATGAAAATATAGCAAATATTTTATTTTTTACAGCAAAAAAGATATTCGTACAAATTATTCTATAATAGCAAAGTATCAAAAAAATATTAGTAATAGATTACTAAAATATAAAGATAAAATATACATTAATAAAAATATATTTTCATTAAATTATTGATTGAATTATCAAATAGTATATCTATTGTCACAAACATCAATATTGAAGAAGAGCAAAGATTAGTCAATAAGCTTAAACATGCTATTAGAAAGATTTTTGAAGTTATTTATATTATAATTTATAGTATGAATGTTGTTAACAGCTAATTTGGTAATACCAAGTATAGCTAAATGAATAAAAACCACCTGTATGTAAAATATGTGATAACTGTGTTAATTGAATTACTGATGAACTAAAATTACTTTGATAGTAAAGAAGAGATTATAAAATTATTAGAAGTAGAATATTTTATACTGGAAACAGGTGAGCAAATTAGTTCAGATGATATAATAGATGTATATAGAAATGGAAAAACAGCAAAAATAAAACAAAAAAATTGAAATACTTTGCCTATATATTTAGTTGAAAAAAGAAAGATGCTGAAACTAAAGATTTAGTTTAATTTGTCTTGACTGATTTAGTTATTCGTGATCTAGTTCAAGAAAAAATTATATTGCAAAAATAATTTGAAAGTGATAAATGCTTATCTAGCAGTATTATTGTAACTGGTGTAATACCAGACATATAAGCAAATACTGATATGCAGGTTAGCACTATTTTGTTAAATAAAAATTATGTATAACTTGTTTATAATTTCTGTAGAATTACAGTCAACTCTTGTTATCTAGATCTTAACTTTGCTATAAGGCTATAGTAAAGATTTTAAGAGATTTGATTGGCCAATTCGCTATAACAAGAGTATTTTTATTATATTTGTTCAAAAAATTCGTTATATCAAGAGTTCGCTATATCAAGAGTTGACTGTATGTAAATCTCATTTGTTATTGTTATAATTACACAAAAAATTTGTCATATGATTTATATTGAAAATGATTTTTGTACACTCTCTCCTTAATTATCTTTTAAAATAATTTTATTATTTAATTAGATTGATATTCTAATTAATTAATTAATTTAATTAGATGATTTTTATATGATTTGATTATAATAATTAATAATTAAATAATTAATTAAGTAACTTAATTTTAATTAATCTGATAATAATATATAAATTTAAATTAATTAAAATTAATTAATAGTTAATTTATTACAAACTAATTTTTTCTTGTTTTAAATTTTAGATAAATATTTTATTAATAAGTATTTTTTTTATAAAAATAATTTATAAATTTATATATATATATTACTAATATTTTATTTTTAAATAAAGTTATATTTTAAGATTTTTATTAAAATTTTTCTTAATAAAATTTATTTTTAAAAATTTAAATAAATATATATATATTTTTTTAATAAAGAATACCTATATACCTTTAAAAATATATATTATCAAAATTTTTTTTTAATAAAATAATTATCTTAAGATTTTAAAATGTATTTATTAACATTAATATTTATTTATATAAACTTTAATTATTTTATTATTTACAATTTAATTAAATATTTGATTTGATTTTAAAATTAATTTTATTTGATTTAATTTAATTAAATATTTAATTTAATTTAATATAATTATTATAAATAATATCATTATAATAATATAATTATAATATAAATCCTTAAAATTATTTTAATAATTTTATAAAATATCAAATAAAAAATAAAAATAAAAATACTATTTAAATATTTTATTAAATTTAAAAAAATCAAATAATAATTGGTTAATTTTTATTTTATTAAGATAAATATTATATTTTATATTATTAAAAAGTATTATTAAATTAAAAATTTAGATGTTTCAAATGTATGATGTGAATTATAAATTTACTAAATGAAAAGTTTTAAAATGATTTAATTTAAAATACTACTAAAAATTATAAAATTATTTACTTAGATGACTAATTTTTTAAACTTGTATTCATTTAAAATCAAAAAAAAAAATTTTAATTTTTATTAATAATATATTTCTATATAAAATTTTGAAAAAAAAACTGTTTTATTTAAAAATAATAATATTTAAGCCATAGTAATTTTTATTCGTTCTTCTTTTAAATTGAGCATACTGTATACAACCGAATAATAAAAACTACAAATCGAGTAGTTTTTTTATATATATATTTATATCTGTTAATATCTTAGTACAATATTACATAAATTACAAATGATTATGTAGCAAAGTCATTTCCACCCCATGCAAACCTATTTCTTGTATCCCGTTGTAATGTTCCAAATGTTCTAATATTCCTAAAACCATTTCATGATTCTCCAAACAGATCTTCATCAGATTCATTATCATTCATCGCTTCAAGTTCGTCATTTTCTCCCATTTCAAATCCATAATCCTCATCATCACCACCTTCATTACCACTTCCAACTCCACCAGCAGGTGCTTCTAATCCTAACGGCGCAATAGATTCTGATGCTGATGATAAACTATACTCGGGTTTTAAATGATAACAATTATTATATGATCCACGTTTATCTAGTATAGCGATTTCGTTTAACACGTCTTTTAAATATGACTTAAAATGCAAAAGAAAAAAGGTTAATGATGGCGATATTGTTAATGAATAACATGCATAGGGTTAAGTACCTCCGGTTGTTTCGCGTAATCCTTTAAACCACGCAATGTCCAATAAGTGTACCTTTCAAAGGCACCAAATAGTAAGTCTATAAGTTCGTTCTTTGGCATACGCGTCGTCTTTTGATCGATCGGCACTTTTGGCTTCTTTTGCTAAGTATTATGATAGATATAGAGCATGAAGTTACTTGACACTTGAAGGTAAAATAATTAAATAGTTATTGATTATTATTTGAATACTACTTACAACAAGGTTACCGAACTTGGCAATTGCGGCCGCGGATGCACCAGGCGGTACATAAGCGCCACGATTCTCATTATCTTCAATCATTTTAATGGCTCTCGCTGGCGTTGAAGCTTTTATTGTTCTTTCACGAACCTTTTTACTATAATCGGACCCAAACGTTGGTTTCACTATAAAGTTATGTGTTGCTGTAGCTGCCATATCTACACCTATTAAGGTCATCGGACGAGTAATAATTTTAGTGCACCGGACTTTTTTTTTTTTTGTTTTTTTTTAAAAAAAAAGTTGAACATAAGAAATCTTACTATCGTCATCTCTATTTTGATAAAAAAGGAAAGTATCAGCAACATTTTCATCAATAACTTCAAGATCATACTCTTTAGGCTCGTTTTCATGCTTTTCGATGTCTGATAGAATAAATTTATACTATAGATAAACAAGAAGAGTTAAAGCTTCAAATTTTATTTAAAAAAAAAAAAAAAACAGTTGAATTCATAAGACCGATATATACCGATTTTTTTGGCGGTTGACTACCTATTCCACTGCAAACATAAGAAATCTCTATTAAAATTAAGCAAAGAAGTTTTTTAAAGCCGAAACTCTAGGATTAATACTATTACCGTGAATCAACAAAAAATTGAACTCTAGCAAGCTCAATATCATCGTCTGCGACGTCTTGCCACTTATCAAATATAAAGGCCGGCAGCTAAATGGTAACAAAATATTTAGTAAATCAACGTAGCATTCGACATCAAGGAACAAAAAAAAAATTTTTTCACTTTAATAAGCCAAGCTTCGTTTTCACGACCTTTCAAATCAATATCGTCCGTATCCTCATATTCAAATTCTTCGTCATTATCCAGATTCATTTCGTCCGCAAAAGCTTCATCTATGTCAGTCAACATTTGCATCGACATGATTCAAAAGTTTTATTTGATGCTAGAGCTATGGTTTAATTATAGATCTGTCAAAAACGTCAATTTATATTTTTTTTTAATTTTTTTTTAGCCGTCCATATTTGGGAAATCTTGTCATTGTCTAATTGTCTACGTATGTTGTTTATTTTATATTTAACCAATTAAAACTGTCCACGTTAAAACAACATCACAAAGATCACCAAACATCAACAAATAATAAGCTGAAGCAATGATTAAAAAAAGTTGAAAGTGCAAAAAAATTTTTCACCACTTAATAAAAGATGCGATCGTTTTGCAGGCTTTTGGCAATTTTGGTGCTGACTATCAGTCTAGCATACAAAACGTTAGCAACTAACGTTACCTTTGTTCCTCAACACTGGAGGAACACTAATATGCTTCGCACGATAGACCTTACAAGTTCTATCGTTCGAGAAACCACTTCGGTAGCTGCTCAAAATATTCATAACGAGTCGATAGGTGAATATTATTTTCCAATACCAGAACAATGGGATAATCACTTGTCGTATATTGAAGTGAGGGAAAGAAAGACGAAACAGACTTTTGAAGTTGAAAAAGTAAAAATTAATCCTCTCAAGTGGGTACCTTATTCTAATCAATTATCACGACAGTTTGATGACATGTTTGTTATGCAAAGAAATGAAAAGAATGAAATAATATGCGGGAGTTCAAAGAAATTTAAGTTGCCTTTATTACATTCAAATGATACTACTTCAACGTGCAGCCGGATCCGATATTATAAGATCTTTTTCAACCGTCGACTCGATCCACAAGAACAGATTAAATTCACCATAACAACAGCTTTTACCCACATGCTAATTCCTTACCCCAAAGAAATTACTCAAACGGGAAGGCAACAATTATTATTTCAAGGTAACCAATATGGTAACAGTGCTTATCAAACCGATCAGCAAAAAACCAATGTCAAGTAAGTTTTATAATTTTCGCGTCATGTCCAATTACTCATTGAATGATCAAAAGGTTTATGATCAATAATTTACATTTATAGACTCCCTTCAGCTGATATAATTAGTTACAGTCAGACAAAGGGTAACGTGATTCGTAATCAAAAAAATCTCGATTATGGAAGGTTTAACGAAACGAAGCCGAACTCTTACGAAGAACTCAGGATTCATTATGAATTCCAACAGAATATGTTAACCGTTACGGGATTAAGGCGCGATTTAGAAATCAGTCATTGGGGTGGAAATCTTGCGGTCGAAGAACATTTCAACCTAACTCATGACGGAGCAAGGTAACTTGAGATTTATGAAAAATTTTTTGTTTGAAAATTTCACTTTTTTTTTTAACATTTAAATCTCAAAAGATTAAAGGGACATTTTTCACGGCTCGATTATCATAAAACCGTTTATATTCATCACGAAACTATCATGACACGCGAATTAACATTGAGTTTACCGATTCATGTATCCGATGTGTATTATCGAGACGAGATAGGTAACGTATCAACATCTAATTTACGATACGAACAGGATAAAACGATTTTTGATTTTAAGCCAAGGTATCCTCTATTCGGTGGATGGAATTATACATGGTATTACGGATATAATGTGCCACTTGGAGATTTTGTGAGATATCATTATGAAAGTGGTCGATATATTCTGAATATCCCTTTCGTAAACGTGTTTCCTCAAGCGATTCATGATAAAGTACAAGTGAGAATCATCTTACCCGAAGGGGCCAGGTAAGGAAGGTTCAATATCATTATTGTTATCGTCATTTATTCTTCTCAATTTCACGAGTCCAATTTCTTTTTCTTTTTAGTGATGTAAAGGTAGAAACACCATTTGTCATTGATAAAGAAACACATGGGGTTCATAAAACCTATTTGGACACAATAGGACGATACCTTATCGTCCTTGAAAAATCTAATGTGGTTAATGATCATTCAAAAAATATTCAGATTTCTTATACATATAGTTCATTAGAATTATTAAGAAAACCTTTATCGGTTTCACTTTTCCTTTTAGGACCATTTCTTTTAAGTATGATCTATTCAAGAATAGAATTCAGTATTGGAAAATCCAAGAGAAAAACTAGTTAAAAGAACAATAAACATTAAATCGTAAAAATTTTTATTTATATAAAGTTGTTACTAAACCGAATTTGTCATAATGAATGATGATCTCGGAAATTTTAATGGAAATTTTGCAAGCAAATTCTCTGCAAAGTAAGCTGTAATTGACAGGCTCTTATAAAAGAATACTTAAAAGGAGTTATTGTACTAACAAAGAAAAGACAAAAAAAGACAAGTTTTTTTTTTATACACATTTATATTGTTAAAACGAATTGGGGAAAGCATTTAAGTATGCATGTATTGTTGTTACACCAATTAAATTTCAACAGCTGTTGAACTTTACGACAGAAAGTTCAAACCTAACTTTTTTTTTTTTGATCATTCGCTCGCGGCCAATTGCATCATAGTACTTTGTAATGTAAAAATTACGTAATGGTTAAATGAAACTGGATTTAATCGGTATCACGCGCACAACAATAAATCTCCGTCTTTCAATTAAAAAATGAGTTGACCAGTCACTTTTACAAGGGTAAGTTTCACAATAACGCGATCGGTGATTTTTGTTATATGACGATTAAAACTTTCTCAGGCTTTTTTGACCGAAGGGTTGTTGAATGAATAAAATCTTGCATCTAACAAAAACGAATCAAAAAGATGGGTTTGTACCTATCTAATTAGAGTCACGCGTTTTTATTTCTTGGACAGTGATTACTTTCTTTGTGATATTGTGAAACATAGATAAACGAGGTTTTGAACTTGCTTTTTTTTTAATTACTAAAAAAAAAAAAAAAAAAAAAAAAAAAAACTATATATTTATTTTAAAATTAAAACCTGAATTTCTTTATGGAATTCTGATTGATTATACCGAATATTGCAAAGATCATCAAATGAAATCCGTTTCGTGGAAGGAATGGTTTTTTTTAACAAGGTTATTTATTGATCTGAAAAGAAAAGGCTCAAGAAAAAAAAAAATACAAAGAAACAAAAAAAAAAAAAAAAAAAAATTCAAAAAATTTTTGTATTGTATTATTTTATTTTATTTACTTTTGTATTACATTTTTCTGTTGTCTGACATTATTATTTAAAATTTACAAGATTTTAACACGAATTTAAATATATACCTTTTTATGACATGGGATGACCTAAAATAAGTCTCAAACGGCAAGCTCACGGAGGTTTAGTGATCGATAGTATTCTTATTATAGTAAGTCGAAATATCCAGATAAGTTTTGCATTAATCCGCGTGCCAACCACTCCTTGCATCTCGTGTAAGAAATTTTTTATTTATTTTTTATTTATTTTTTTTGTAAAAAAAAAAAAGTTTATTATCAAAATTTGATCGGTTTAGATTGGCTAGATTTAGTTTCAATCAATTACCAATAAAAGCAAAGAACTAGAAGTTTTATAAACATTCTGACTGTAATAAACAACGGATCTTTGCCTAAATCACCATTATCACAGTTCTGAACTTTTATCTGGGTACCTTTTTATTTACTTTATTGATTGATTTATTTATTTATTTTACCTTTTGTACTTTTTTGTACAAAAATGTGCGTAAACAAAAATTCAAGAAATTTTTGTTATTTTTATTAAGCCGCCAATGTTATTATTATTCAACAGGGACAGGTATATTATCGTGAATTTTTTAACGAAATCCAAATCATCAATTAACGGGCTAGATTGATTGTTTAATCATAATACCTTTTTTTTCCCATTTTATTCTTTTTTTAAAAAAAAAAAAAAGGATTGTAAACATAAACAACGGCCGTGGGAGGTTCAAGGCCGAGCCCTTTCTTTTCTCTCGGCTGATTTACACATATCATTTATTTTGAACGATGATGATGCCCGATTTTCGTTTGTCCTTGGATATAATAACGGATTTTATGATTTCTAAATGTAAAATGTAAATCGATTTAACTCTATGGAAATAACAATGAAAAATGATGAATTATACGGATTTCATGTGTCCATACTGCTTGCTTTCTTTCCCAATTATAATTAAATCGCACGAGTTTGGCGTTGTTTAATGCCTTCCCTCCTTCTCTTCAAGAAGTAGGAATTTTACCCTTTGGATTAGATCTTCATTTCCATTTAAAAATTATACATGTAATTTAAATAACTTTCGTTTTTTTTTTGATATCGATGAATGCGCGCGATTTTTTTTTTTTTTTTCCTTTTTTTTCCCTGGGAATGGAAAAAAATTTTTTTTTTTCCAAGATGAATCATATGGGTAAAATTTTTTTTAGGAGAAAAATCGGCTGATGTGAGGAAAATCATGCTAGAAAGGTTTACGCGTGAATCAAAAAAAAAAAAGTCTTTCCAACGATACTGAAAAGAGCTTTATAATGACTCGGGGTTCTGTTCAAAAGTTACACAAAAAATACCTGAAGGCAAGCATTAAAGCAAAAGCAAGGCGCGATATTTACTAATAAAAAAAATTTTTTTTTTTTAGTTCTTTGTGTTTGTCAAAAAACATTTTCCCAATAAATTCCTAAACTTTCCGAATGATTTTGTATTCCAATCAAGATCTTTTTTTTATATATATATATTGTAGAAAAAAAAAAAAAAAAAAAAAAAAAAGGTATATCTGATTAATTCGTAAAAATTTCAATACTTTACCATTTACTCCCGTTCAAATTACTTATATTAACTAGATACCCGCCCTTTAATAAAGCAGTTCAGTTTCTTTTTTGTCCCAAAGGAAAAAAATATATTTGAAACTGAAAAAAAGCTAGAGGCGAAGAATAAAAATGTCACGAGCAGCCGAATATGCACAGTTTCCCTATACTCCCCCGAAAACCCATCTCACATCTGCTCAACAGTCTATGCACCACCAGTTTACTCAACAACAACCAAATCAGTTCACGAGTTCTCAGGACGGTTTGCTCACTCAACAACCACCTTCTGTAACAACGAATCCACAATACACGACCTCGCATGCCTCAATTGTCACGCCTAGTTTAGGTACTCAGCAAACACGACGTTACAAGACTCAACAACATACCTCCATATCACCACCTACTCCAAATACCCCTAATCGACAGTATTCTCAGAATTCTCTCGTTCAAGCAACATTGGAGCATCCTCCCTCCCCTTTAAGCTCAAATCAATGTTTACCCACTACTAATAATGTTACCATTCCCTCAACTTTACCCGCGTCTTTACCTACCCCTCCAACCACCCTCCCTCCAGGTTTATCAAGTCCAAATTCAGGGAATACCCCGGCTTCCAATTTTGATTTGCAAGATGTTCTCGCGCAATTCGGTAATCAACCTGAACTACTTAAACTCATCCTTAAATCAAAGGTAGAGGAGGACAAGCGTAAAGCTGAGGAAGCAAAATTGCGCGTCAGAGAACTTGATTTATTGTTATTGGATCGTGATAGGCAGAAAAAATGTTTAGAACACGCTCGTGATGTTGATGAATCAAAGAACGATGAGATTCATTCTAATCAAGATATGGATTTCGATCATGGTGAAGATTTTATTTTTTTTCCTTCCGTCATCACATTTTCGATCACGAACGATGAAAAGGTTTCACATGTGTTCAATTTATTCATTCCCCCTTTTTTTTTAGACAACTCGATCGGACCGTAAGTTCTCTCCATCATCATTAAAAAAAAAAACCATGTTTATGATTGACACCCCCCTTATCTTGATCTTTATTGATGTAAATTTATGTACAACCTTTATTTACCCTTTTAAGGTTCTCCACATCTGACGGATCATTAAGTTACGCGTCTTTTGGTGCTAGTTTGTCTTCTCCCGTGCAAAATCTCCCCCTCAATTCCCCGAGTACTCCTGTATCTCAATCAACGCCTCGACTTAAACCAGCACCGCGAATCAATTCGACACCTAAAGGTCAGTCGGCACCACAATTACCATTGCATTATCGTTTCTCGCCACTTAACAATCAACTGACTTCTCAGAATTCTCAAAATCAAATGCAATCTCATAATCAAGCAATCCAAAATAACCAGGAGGGTATTCTTGGATCGGCAGAAAACGAAGAAAGCAACGTCAATAATGTAACGAACAAACGTAAACGCAAACGTCGCGAAATGCTTCCTGTGACGATGATCATCGAAACCAAAGAATGTCCTTTCAAGGATGAATATTTATGGAAGAACAATGGAAACACCACCCAAAGAAAAACTGGAAACAAGAGCGTTTATTTTAAATGCTCAAATAGCAACAAGGGATGTCCAGTTAATAAGACGGTCACTGAAAAGGAAGGTGGATGGATCATTAAATATCGTGGTCATCATTTGGATGTATGCGGTAAGATTAAACGCATCGTGCAATCTTAATCAATATTCCCCGTTGGAAATCACCATCCGGTGTCGTCGTATGATCTAACCGTCACAACTTAATTCGCATTTTATATATATATATATATATATATATTTTAAAAAAAAATTTTAACTTTTAATTCGGCCTTTCTTTTCTTTTTCTTTTTCTTACCTTCCAATGTACATTTCACTTTGTTTACTTTTTTTTATTTTCCCCTTTTTTCTCTTTCTCTGTAAATTTTCTTTTTTCAATCCCCCCTTTTTTTAACTATCGTCTTTGACGAGAATCACCTTTTGTTTTATGTTATGGAGTATTCAATCGAACATTGGAAACGGGCCATTTGTAAGATGTAATAACGAAAATTTTGAAAACAATTTTTTTCAAAATTTTTTTTTTTTGTTCCAAATATCGCATTTAACGAAATTATAACAAACTTGATTGGAACAAAAAAAAAAAAAATAATTAAAAACAAAAAAAAAAAAAAACAAAAAAAAAACTTTTAATGGCCGCGAGAATATAAGCAAAAAACGTTTAAGCTCTTAAAGCAAGAGAAGAAACAAAAATTGTTTCTTTTTATTATGGGACAATTAACTTTTCTAGTACTATAAAGAACTTTGGTTGGTAGTTTATTTTTTTACTCCTTTCTTTAACTCTTTTTTTTTTTAACATAAAAAAAAAAAAACAACCCTCAAAAAATTCTTTTGAAGTAATACGTATCGATTCTTAGAAGCGCGAATTTATTTTAAGAATTCTTTTATTATACATACCTTTTTCAAAAAAAAAAAAAAAAAAGACACCGTCTTTTAACTTTCTTTTATTCCTTCTACACCCTTATTTCGAAAATTGACGCGTCAAAATTTGACATTGAATTTGATTTATACAACTCAAAAAATTATACATTAAAAAGGATAAAGACCGATATTTGTTTGGAACTCTAAAAAAATTTTAATCGATACATTTTTAATTGATTTTTTGTGGTTAAAAGTGAAAGTGAAAATATAATTTTCAGGAGACAACATAATAATAATGTGATATGGTCATACGAAGTAACGCCCTTGGATAGGAAACCTTAGTAACTTTGGACTTGTGAAACAATTTCTAGTGGAACATCAAAGTTACCTCATGATAAAAGACCATCTATAGTTGTCTTTAGTTAAATAATCACCTTTTAGTTGAAACTCTAGCTATACCAATGTTTTTTTTAAAAAAATCAAAAACTTTTTCTCTCGAAAAAAATTTTATAATCCTAAAATCTAAAGAATCATTAGGATTTGTGGGCAAAAAAAATTTTTCGCGTTCAATTTTTTTTTGTTTGGGAGGATCTTCCTTGGATGTTGCTGCATTTTCATGATTATGTAAAAAGAAAAAAATTTTATTTATTTAGATCTGCATACATAATATACATAATTTATGATTAAAGTTTTAGAATCTAAATTTATATCTTCATTGAAATAGAGTTTGAACCTAGATCATGACGATATTTTTGGATGACAAACTTTGATACAGCATTATGCATTCTTGGTAGTATTCTTTGCTTTTTTTACAAAGGAATGATTTAAATTGCACGAATTAAGAATGACTACAAATTTAAAATATTTAGATCTATTTTTATATATGGGAGCTTTGCAATAGAAAGGAGAGAAACTGCCAAATTTTACTTTCATATGCTAAATATGTATATAAACTCATTTTTCATTTTTCCCGGCAGTTCCCCCTTTTCATTGCAAAGGTTCATATATTCATATTACATGATCATAAATAAATATATATAGTTATATATTTATTTATTTCGTTTTGTTACCAAAGGAAAGTTTAAGGTACTTTTATAGAAATGATTAATTAAATGTAGCATGTGTAACGTGTTTATGCATTCTTTTTGTAATGCGCCATGCTGCCATGCGCCTGCGCGTTTTTTTTTTTTTTTTTTTTATCGTGGTGTGGGTAAAAATAACATTTCAATTTAAAGAACAATTGTTGATAAAAATCAATTTTTTACCTGATTTTGGAAGAAATCCGTAAATCCTGGAATTAAAATAGTATACTTGTGGAATATATAGTGAACAAAACGGGTAACTTGATTACGAAAATACGTCAGTCCAAGTTTTTTTTTTTTTGAAAAAAAAAAAAAAGTTTCTTGGATTACAGATGAACTAAATTCGAATTTCATCGTCCTAAAAGTTCTTAACGTGAAAACTTTTCGAAAAAGGTTGCCTTTTTTCGTTATGCGTTTTTGGGATGAAACGTTATGGAAATTCCCAGGGTTTGTTCCGGAAATTTTTATTTTTATTTTTTTTTTTTTCAGGGATCATGAAGAGGATGAAAAGATACAGATTTGACCCGTCCTTTTTTTGGTTTCCAACTATCGTGAATTTTTTTAAAAAGAAAAAATGCTTGTCGTTGCCGTTACACCACGGAATTAGCACCAGTCGGATATATTTGAAAGGTTGGAGGATTTAGTGCCGAAGATTTCTCCCGGATGGGATCATCATCGAGTGTCGATATCCGCTTGTCGTTTCGCTTCAACACCCTTTCCATCTTCTAATCATTGCAAGAACCCGATAAATTCATCTTCGTAATAAATAAATCGAAAAAGTCGATTTAAAAAGACTGGCCTATCGGAAATTCACGTGATCGATGGCCGTTTTTAAGTACAATATTGTTTAATATATTAAATGCAAAAGGTGTTGCAGATTAATAATAATTCGGATATTGAACCATGAACGTGGGTTGTACTTAATATAAGCATAACCTTTGATTTAATTCTTTGACCCTGTTTAACGAACTCGATCATTTTACTGTATGCAAGTTTATTGTTCTTAAGACGCGTTACAAACATGACGATCAATGTGTTCGTTTTATTCGGTAATTGAAGTTTTGTCGAAAACCCGTGGCGCAACATGACTTTATTATGGAAGTATTCATGCAATTTTTTAATCAAGGCATCTTTCTAATTAACGCGTTCTTATCCTCCATTTGAAGAGTAGTATCACGCGTAATTCTTCAATTTCTTTGCAAATATTTGTTCGAGATGGTGCATGTACAGAAAATAATGGATTATGATTTAAACACATTATCAAGGTTAACATTGAATAAATTTATTAACAAACTCATTGACTTTTTGAATATAATAAACATAATTTCCCCACCCCGAATCATTTAAAAAAAAAATATTTTCTTCGGGTTGTCACGTTATTAAATATATAAATATATGAAATTCAACAATAAAAAAATGTTGCTTTTTGGCGAACAAACGCCACTACCTTCACCTATAAAAAAAATGTTAAACAATAAGTTCAACTTAATTAACATTATTAAAGAAATTAAAGAATTTATAAATTCTCATTTAAATCAAATAAATATCCTTTAGGTCAATAACTGACGAAGATCATCCTCTTCATCATAGTCTTCAAATTCGATCAAATCTTGTCCAATAAAGGCCAATACATGATCGTGACAACATCGAAATTCAATTAATACGTCTGTGGCTGTTTCTACCGGAAATGAAACCATGTTGGCTTGCGCTATCAATTGTCTACTTGATTTGCTTGAACGTTTCGGTTTATGATCATTTTGAGAAATACATTCTTTGTCATGACTTTTGATTCCGAGCTGCGATGATAATCTTGATAAAGAACTTTCATTTGATTGTGGGTTATTTTGAACAGTTCCACGTACTTTCGTTGTAATTTGAGCATCAAAGTGTCGAGCCGATATAAAAGAAATGTCGGTTGTAACGGGTTCCCTTTCTTCCGTTTTGTACCTTTTGGCTATGTGTTTTGGTGATGAAGAAGTCGTAACATCCTGCACGTTATCAGATTCCAAGAGATACTTTAATCCTTTGGCATTGCTTGAAGTTTTGGGTAAATTCTTGGATAAGTTTACCACAATAGAATTTTCCTTATCTTTTTCGTTTTTATTTCTAACATGTGCCCAAACAGACGTGGCAATGAAGCCACTTGCGACAAGAGCAGCGGTAATTTCGATATTTGCCAAAGGGGATCTAAAGTTTCTATAAAAATAAACGAATTTATTTATGTAAGTAAGGTATCTTTCTATTGAAAATTATCTGTTTTAAGTATATTATTACTATTTAACCGTTTTCTAACATAAAGCGTTTTTTTTTTTTTTTTTTTTTTTGTTTGGTAAAAAAAATGAAAGTTATATATATACCTATTTATTAAAAAGTGGAGCCTTAGTGCTTGGTGTGTGAAAGAAAGAGGATTTGAAGGGAGGAGTTGATAGGAGTGACTTCTGTTGAAACAATAATATACTATTATGGCTATCGCAACACTAAAGGTTGTGAAAGACACGACCGAAAGTAAGTAAGTGTTATTAAAGTCGTGTAAGTTGTAAAATTTTAAAAAATCGCGTAAAGTCATAACGAGAAACGAAGAAGAGGAGTTGCAATGCCTCACTGCGGCTTGGAATAACTGGATTAAATAAATCCTCTCACAAATTTCATTTTAACCAAATTTGGTTAATATTAATTTAAACCTCCGTGAAGTGTATATATATATATAAATAATATATCTTTATACTTTGTGTTAAAACTGAGATTTTCAAAATATTATTTTCTTTATACTCCAATGGTTTCATATCATTCACTTGAGTTTAGTCATCCAATTATTTTTAATATATATATATATATATTTTTCACATTTAATAATTACCAATATTTCTATTTCTATTAAAGATATTTTTTTTATATTTTACTTGTTATTTATTATAATATTTTAAATTATATAAATATATGTTAATTTTATCTTTATAAATGAATAATTACCATTTAAATTATGTATTTTTTTTTTTTAGTAATCAAATTTTTGTACTTTTAATTTATTTTTTTTTTAATTACTTCAGCTATATCACCAATTTTTTAAATTCATTAGCATTTTAAAAAGATCATAAAAGAAAATCTCAAATCACTTGTTAAAGAACTAAATTATAATATGAAAATTATCAGAAATGTTTTGATAATAGTATTATCTAGCTATAATCTTTTTTTCTATAGTATTTTTATTATAATTTTTTTACTTTATAAATTAAATATGATTTTTTTAGTAAAATAATTCAGATTTAACATTAACTTAAAAAAAATTTTTTTGCAAAATCTTATAATATAAGAATATAAAAATCAGATCAGTACAAATCAGCAGTATTAATTATAAAAAATATTAAAAAAGTGATATATAAAATATTTTAAATTTATTATTAATTTTATTTATATTAATATAATTTATTTTTGTCTCAGATGTCAAAAGTATTAAAATATTACATTTTTGCAATTTTTAAATGTTTCAAAAGTTAATGATTCAATTTTGCAAGAATTTAAATATTCTAAAGTCAGAAACCTTAATTTTTACATTTTTACAAATAAATTGTAGTTAAAGTTTAATAAATTCAAATATTATTTAACTAATTTAACCAATTGGCCATTTTGGTTATAAATAAAATAGCTATTGATTAAATCTATACTAATTGAATTTTGATTGCTAATTTTAGCACTGATTTATAAAATATTAGCAAAATTATCTATTTATAAGTTAGAAGATATATTTCAAAAGAATAATAATTTAGAAACTTTTTTTAGTTTCCTTAAACTTATCTTTATAAAAATATTTATAAGTAAATAAGATAAATTATTAATAAGAAAGGATCAATTAAAGAAAAATAAGAAATATTATATTAAAAAAAAAAAATTAAACTTAAAGAAAAAGAAAATTTTTAGCTACTCTTTTAGTTATAAATATAGTTGATTTTTATACCTCAACATTATTTTGATCAACCTGCTAATATAATGATGAACAATAAATTTAAAATTTATCATGATTATAATTTAACAATTGTGAAAATCTATAACTAAAAAATTTAATAAAGAAAAGAATCTGTAATATAAAAAAAGATTAATTAACCAAAAGGAAGTGAAACAGTTAAAAAAATCTTAAACTTTTTGCATTTAAACTAATAGATAAAAAAAAGAAACAAATGATAATGAAGAATATTTTATTTTATTTGAATTATAAAATATTAATAAAAAGGGGAAAATAAAAAAAAGTAAACAAAGTGAAATGTACATTGGAAGGTAAGAAAAAGAAAAAGAAAAGAAAGG